CCGACCGACGTTACGAAATTCGCGCGAATTTCGAAACGTCGGCCGGGCGCGCCCTTTTTGCACCTGTACCATAAGAGCACGAATCGTTCGTCCTACCCACTTCTTAACTACCACAGAAGCAAGCGAGCGCGCCCGGCCGACGTTTCGAAATTCGCGCGACTTTCGAAACGTCGGCCGGGCGCGCTCGCTTCGCTCGCTTGCTTCTGTAGTAGTTAGAAAGTGGGTAGGACGAGCGATTCGTCCTCTTATGGTACAGGTGCAAAAAGGGCGCGCCCAGCCGACGTTTCGAAATGTTGGCCGGGCGCACTCGCTTCGCTCGCTTGCTTCTGTAGTAGTTAGGAAGTGGGTAGGACGAGCGATTCGTGCTCTTATGATACAGGTGCAAAAAGGGCGCGCCCGGCCGACGTTTCGAAATTCGCGCGAATTTCGAAACGTCGGCCGGGCGCGCTCGCTTCGCTCGCTTGCTTTTGTGGTAGTTAAGAAGTGGGTAGGACGAACGATTCGTGCTCTTATGGTACAGGTGCAAATAGGGCGCGCCCGGCCGACGTTTCGAAATTCGCGGCGAATTTCGAAACGTCGGCCGGGCGCGCTCGCTTCGCTCGCTTGCTTTTTAGTAGTTAGAAAGTGGGTAGAACGAGCGATTCGTGCTCTTATGATACAGGTGCAAAAAGGGCGCTCGCTTCGCTCGCGTGCTCCTTTAGTGGTTAGCAGGTGCTACCAGCGAAGCGTGCTCTTACGGTGTAGGTGTAAAAAGGGCATTTGCGAATTTCGAAACAATAACCAAACACGATCGCTTCTAAGATAGTTAGGACGTAGAAGGGCGAGCGTGCTTTTATGGCGTAGGTGTGTCAATGAACTTTTTAATTTTTTTGAATTATGATAGGTTTACAAAAAGTATTTTGGATAAAAAATGTATAAAATAAATCAAAGTTTAGATATGGCAATCCTGTGGGCCTGTTGTCATTGACGGAGTCGATGATACATATATAGTTATATAGATTGCTCAAAGCGTGTTTTTTGCGAGCGGCCATATTGCCTGGCAAGCACTGATCTGTATTATTTTACTGGATAGGATATAGGCTATATTTAACATACTAAAAAATCGTTCCACCAAGGAGACCGGAAGTGCAAAAATTCTGGCCGATTTGGGCAAATTATGGTGGGTTCACAGAACTGAAATTTGGGATAATTTGACATACCTAACCTATAATTTGATTAGTTTTTCTTCTTATTCTTCTTCTATTCCTTTTGCGGGCGATGTCCTTCGGGAAATTTCACCCATGATTTGATTTTTTATGAAAGAAAATATAAAAATGGAAACGTGAATCATATTGTGTCTTCAGGAATGAACGTTTATTGTTTATTTCATACTCTTTTTACTTTGTTTTCCACAATAAAAACATCTCATCGTAGCTTGTTGACACAATTAAATGACAAATGTAATGACAAATGGAAATAGAGGTTACGTTAAATAACATCCGGTCCGCCATATTATTTGCCCAAATCGGCCAATTTTTCGAAATGTTTTTTAGGGGGCTATACCCTATCCAGTAAAATAATACAGATCAGTGCTGGCAAGTCTCCATTAATTTGAATCGATTTAGGAAAAATGTGTTTTAAAACCAATTTCCAACCTTAGAATATATTAAAAGTATAATTTCCTACATTTTTACTTTAAGGCATAAGCATATGTTTATTTTGAAATATATGGATGATCAATCTATATAACTGTCTATAACATTGATCCTATCAAATCAACAGGCCCAAAGTGCTGCCATATTATTATAACCTGTCAGTGGCCTGTCATTTTAAACGGGTAGCCATTTGGTTTGGAATGCCTAATATAAAGTGATAATAAAATTATGTTTAAAAATTTTCGAAAAGTACTTGTTTATTACTTTATAGATGATGTAATATTATTTATTATGTACCACAACAATTCAATCAAAATGGTTAAATAAATTGTCAGATGTGACTGAAAATAAATTAAAGAAATGCTTTTTAAAGTGTATGGAAATGCTATTTAAAAAAATAGGGTAATTTCTTTTTCGTTGATTTTAATTACACTTGGCAACACCGCAAATATTTGAATTGACAGATATAATTCTAAATTCTAATGAATAAGTTTACATAAATGATCAGTTAATGATCCTCGTAAGCCTTTAAATGCAATTTATTTTTATAAACGTTAAATTATGGGGTTTCCGGTGGTATATTTGAAAAATACGCTCCTTCCTAAAGCCTAAAATGTAAGTTTCGTAAAAAAATTTGTATTTTTAAGAAAAGGGCGTCTTCGCAATAGTTACCAAATATTTTTCATAAGTAACTATAATTACGTGAGATGAGATTAAAGCAGACAGTAAAATCAAACATGTAAGTATTCGATTCATAAAAATACCTATTGGATTTTGTCAATTATTGATCTGGGTTTTGTTAAAAATTGAAATTCTTGATAACCATGCACATACATTACACGAAAATTGAAAAAATGTTAGGTTAGAAACACCAAAATCTGAAGGTTAAAATTCAAATTTCTCTGTTATTTATGCGTAACCCGCAAATTTTTTTTTGTTATTTCATATATACAGTTAGTACTATTTTTTAGTTAAAATTTTTTTTAGAAATTCGTGTGTCCGTTATGTTTACAGGCACCCAAATAACCATACGACGGTCATCCACAAATGTAGGTTAAAGAAAAATAATCCCCATATACTGAGTTGGGAGTTACAACATCCCTGGATTTTCT